TTTTTTTTTTTACTCCGATGACGTTATCAGTGATTATAAGCTGATTAATTACCGAAATAACATCAACCCTGTGGGCGGCGCCATCTTGACGAGTCACATGACTTATTTTACCGGAAGTGAAGTGAACTATGCGTTTGGTGTANATTATCCAAAGCCTCTGTATACCCCCCTCTATTTACATGTAATGGTTTGGTCCTGTCTCCAAACGCTGTGCGGCACCGCTCTTTCTAGCAGAGTGAGAGCATGTGAGGCAGGGATGCGAGTACTTACGTGTGTACGATGTCTCAACGACTAACAAAGTCAGGCTTTCAAAAAAGAAAAGAAAGGAGAGAAAGACAAGAGAGAGTGACAGTATGTCACCCAGTTTTGCTCTGATTTAGCACCACCATCAGGCCTTTTCATTTCCATTTCCGTTTTGTTGTCCATTCACACTTTAATACCCGCTTATTTTGTAGTTGGTATGTATATTTAATTAGAAAATCTGCTGCTTATGTTATTTTTTTGTGATAACATTTTTATAAATGATAATATTGGTGTTAATGTTCACTTTATTTTAATTTAAGTGGTCATGTATATTTAAGTTATATTTATTTTTGATTTATGAATGTTCCATTCAAAAATAGTTATTAAAAAGGCATGTACATCATAAAAGATGACTATTGAGGTCTATTGTCAGGAGTGTTAGTGTTATATCAAATAGTGAATTATACTGCAGCAGAATGTTGCACGTCTGCACAGTGTTATATGTTCACCGCTCAGTGTCAGTAAATACTGTGCAGTTAGTATTGGACTACAAGGTAGATGCAAGCCTGTGCAGGTAGAGTTATTTAAAGCATAAATGAGTCGGTTGGGTTCTGGAGGTGTGGTTACAGCAATTGTGCTTGGTTTGCGTGGCCTGTGCCTGGTGGTTGGGCCCAATGTGATATATTTTCATGGGGCCCAAAATCCCTGGTGGCGCCCCTGTATACAGATACTAAAGATAGGCAGGCACTTGCTTTCAAGCAGAATACAGGGGAAAACAAACTTAGCGGGAGTGTTTACATGTTAGGCGTAATGACATACAACGGCCTCGATAATTTCTGTAGTCCTATTCAGCCACTCGGTAACAACCATCGTTTTTCAGACACGTAAACTCTTCAAAAGTCACCAGTGGGGTCACTGCTGATGTATTTAATTTCGTAGAACAAAACGTGATTTATCTCTTAAATTTGTGTCAACCGCAGACCTTATTTCGAGCTATTTTCCAAAACCCTATGGAAAAAATGCATTGCTTTTTGAGGAAGGAACCGGAATTGCTAAAAATGCTAACTTACTTCCAGGTTTTACGACGCGTCACTGCGGTTCTCTATAGGTAAATAAATACTAGAAATATGCTCAACAAAAGACGCCTTTTCTCCAGGCATTCACATGCGCTCTCTTCTATATGGAAACAAAGAAAAGATGCAGGCTTATCTGTTCCAGGCCACATTTTAACTTAGTTTTCTCTCAAAAACTGACATAGGAAGTTTCTCATTTTGAACAGAAGCATCTGTAGATCTGCAATTCATGACCCAAGTGGGGCACAATATACAGTAGAAGCATATCTTCTAATTTGTGTATCTTCACTGCCATCATGAGTTTAGGGGAGACACGGGATGTGAGATTCACCTCTTCTCTGTTCAGGAGAGTAAAGTCTACACTCTACTGCGCTTTTCTAGTTAGAATGACATTTAAAGAATAAATACAAATATAAAATGTTTCAAAAGATAAATTGAGTTGTGTTTGGATCTCTACCAAGTCAACAAAGCAGACATTGTAGAAGATAGCAGCAGGTCTCTAAATGGTTTTGACATCTTGACATTGTGAGTTCAAGTTAATGTCTTTGAAATAGGCTTCCTGCTGAAAGACGGCCCTGCCAATCTTTTACACTTTAATCACTGTTGCAGTCATCATACGGCTTCCAAAGTCAACTTCCTGTGATGCCTGTCGGAGGAAATGAAAGTCCTGTAAAATAATTAAATAACATCCATCAGGGTTTTTGTGTGGAGCTCCTGGCTGTGCACCCCCCAACAATCAGCAGGAAGCAGAGGCTCATCTCTGGCCTCTGACAGCTCACAGAGCCCACAGCTGGGCAGATGTCTGGCTGTTTGCATCCCCTGATTACATCGTGCATGTTTGAGCTGGTGAGCAGCCATAAGCTATGACTCGTCAAACGCATTATGCTGAGGCTGAGTGCTCTAATCAGCGTCTCAGAGGTAGAGTTAGCTCTTTTAGATAAGAGATCCAAAAAGGTTCACAAGTGGCTTTCAGGTTCACTGCAGTGATGTGATTGACTTGAGTATGTTACATAAGACTTACTGCAAGGCTTTGTTCTTTTGAATTGCTTTTATGTGTTGGGTTGTTCAGAGGTCAGGGCATGTTGCTGCTGTGTGCTACCATGTCATAGATATTAATGTATGCTGATCTTGCTCTTTTGCTCTTTTTGTATATCATGTATTTTTGTTTTTGATATGTTTGTAAAATGTAATTTTCTTAAATGTTTTATGTGAGGGACTGCGGATGGAAAATGGCTCAAAGCTAAATCTGACACTTTTACGCTTGACACATTTGAATGTGTTAAGTGTTCAGAGTCATTACTGTGCATTGTCCCTGCCAAATAAAGGATTAAATGAAATGAAACAGCTACAGCACAACCAGGTGTGTGATGGTAGATTGTGAAATTGAACAGGGTTTTTAATCAGGTATTTATGGGGCTGTAAATAATGTAAATACTACTTAGACAATACCGTATTTTTTACTCCACTACTTTTATTTGACACCATTGGTTACTCTGAATGTTCATATTATTTAAAACAAATACTGCACTCCCTGACACCGTAAAAGATGGCTTGGCTCTGACCCTATCCATACAAAAATGCATGTAGTTATGCATATGTGTATACAGACTTAATGGGTATAGGTCCTGTGCATGTGTGTACTTGTACTGTGTGTGTATACAGAATATATATGAACCTAACAGAGATAAACTGAATCACCTCTAGGGGATTAATAATCCTTTTCTTCTTAATTCAACTATAATATAATAATACATTTCATTTATAGCACACTTTAAAAACAACGTCATCTCAAGGTGCTTCACAATGCTGTAAGGAGAAAATAATAAAACAAATAGAATAAAAAGTTATCTATGGAGCATATTGAATATGCTAATTACTTATGAATAGGATACTCACAGTATAACAAGTGATTCAAGTAAGCACCACTTTTACCAACTGCAACAATTAAATGGATTGTGGACATTATTGGATTAATAATTATAATCTAGCAATAATTATAATCTAC